TCATGTCTACCGAATTACGGGCATTTCTTCTGGAGAAAGGCGTAGCAACCAGTCGTACTACCTCATACAATCCTCAAGCCAATGGGCAGGTCGAGCGCCTCAATGGAACACTTTGGCGTGCCATCACTCTAGCATTAAGATCACGGGGCCTACCAACGGCACAATGGGAGTCTGTTCTACTCGACGCCTTGCATTCCATCAGATCTTTGCTCTGTACTGCAACGAACGCCACGCCACACGAACGACTGTTTACCTATAACCGAAGATCGACATCTGGGACAACTCTTCCTACTTGGCTCACTGTACCAGGACCAGTACTTCTCCGGCGGAGTGTTCGTCAGTCCAAATTCGATCCCCTGGTTGAAGAGGTGGAGCTATTGAATTGTAACCCGCAATTCGCTCACGTTCGCTTCGGTAATGGACGTGAAGATACAGTTGCTCTTCATCATCTGGCACCCAAAGGCGAAGATATTGATCAAGTTGAAAATTCAATACCGGAGGGCGACGCAATTCCTGAGCGACAAGTAAATGGGGATGCGACCACTGATCCTAATATTCTTCGTGAAGAAAATACAACTGAAACGCACAACGGGCGTATTCTTTTGGAAAAACAACAACGTGTACGGCTTTACAATTTGCGTACCAGAGAAGCGTGACATAATGGCTCATTCCTTTTCAAGCCGCAGTTAATGTTGTGAACTTTTCTTACAATACGTATCTAATCCCCGACCGAAAGCTGCTACCTTGACGTGGTGGTCGGGCTTGAACACCGCAATGACCTAATCAAGCTATACTGGCTGAGACTTATGTCTCTTGAGGTTCTACCATGCCAGGCAGGTTGTTTGGATAGCGGTTAAACAAAAAGCAGCTACCCAATCCAACATCATGTCCAATACAAAATTACAAAATTTCATGCCGGATCGGCCGTGGCCCGGATTAACAACGACCGCGCTTCCTGCTGCCGTGTCACAGGGCGGGAGTGATAAATCTGCTACTGAGACACACCAAACAAAAAAGAACGAACAAAAACAGGCCGCGTGTGACCGGCCTCAAGCAGTTGTCCCCTGGGCTCTGCGGTCACGCAACCAACTTCCACGGTGTGGGCAGCCGGGAAGTAACAATCGCCCTCACAATCCGAAATGCACACGAAACCTCTCTATTACTCACTCATCTTTGTCTTCATCTTCATCTCTATCATCTTGCCTTCCTTCCACTGATGCAACTCCTCGACTTGATAGCTCTCCACTTCCTCTCCACTCTGCGTCCACTAAAAACGATGGAAGCCAAAAAACCACCACCGACAGCCTCTTAAAGCCGCGCCACCAATTTCATATAGGAGCTCTTAATGTTAGGACACTTTGCCAAATAGGACAACAAGCATCACTAGCCAAGACCCTGGCATCACGAGCCATTGATGTATGCTGTGTTTCAGAAACACGCATACAAGACCCAAGTGTGGTTATTCACCTAACCCCACCTGGCCAACAGGTTGAATCTGCAAAATTCACCTTGAGGGTGTCAGGAGATGCCACAGCTAGTTCACGAGGATTAGCTGGCGTAGGGATAGCTTTGAGTACTAGGGCAGAAAAGACATTGCTTGACTGGATCCCGGTAGATAGCCGAATGTGTGCTGTCCGCCTGAACGGATCAGTAAGAAGGAGGAAGGACTGCACTACTCGCCGATGCCTTTTCGTAATCTCCGCCTACGCCCCCACTGACTGCAGTTCAGATGAAACGAAGGATGAGTTCTACCAAAAGCTGTCTAGTTTGGTGGAAAGGCTAAACGCTCAGACATAGTCGTTCTAGCTGGTGACTTTAACGCTCAAGTAGGGAAATTGTGTCAATCTGAGAAGGATGTCGGTGGCACCTATGGAGCTCCGTGCCAGCGAACCGACAACGGTGACCGTCTCCTACAGTTCTGCTCTGATAATCATTTGTTTCTTGTAAGCACTAACTTTAAACACAAGGAGAGACACTGTTTGACTTGGAGACCCCCTTCATCAAACCAACGCTGGACACAAATAGACCACATAGCAATAAGCTATCGTTGGCGTGGGTCGGTAGGAGATTGTCGCTCCTTCTGGAACACGTGCGTAGATACCGACCATGCACTGGTCCGCGCTCGGGTGTGCTTACGACTGAACGGACGTAGGAAACAGCTGGCGGTAAAACCATCACGTCCCCAGCTCGATCAGGAAACTAAATCCGTATTTCAGGAAGAACTAGCTAAACACATATCTGTGTTCGACAGCTGTGCTCACCCTGAAGAAGCTTGGAAAAATATCCAGGCAGCCATAGATACAGCTGTAAAAGCTGTGAATAAGGTAAACCCAAAGGTGAGTAAAAACCACTGGATCTCCACCGCCTCATCCGAACTGATAGATGCTAGAAGACTTATTCCGGCGAGCTCCGAATTCAATGAGGAGCGAAAGCTGCACAAGAGGAAACTTACGAAAAGTCTCCGCAAGGACCGTGAACAGTGGTGGGCGACAAAAGCCAAAGAGATGGAGAAAGCTTGAGGATAGGCAACACCAGGCAACTCTTTGGACTCATCAGGGAAACGGGTGGGAGAAGACAAATCATTAGTGAGACAATCTCGGAAAAAAATGGCACTATAATTAGCTCCAGGATAGACGACTGGATCGTTGGAAAGAGCATTATGAGGAGCAGTTTAATTTGCCCACAGCCACGCTCAACCTTCCGAGCATCCAACACCTCCCTGAATGGGATATAGACACAGGTCCTCCGTCACTAACTGAGGTTACTAAAGCTGTCACCAATCTGAAACTAGGCAAAGCAGCGGGACCTGATGGAATGACTCCAGAGGTATTTAAGTACGGTGGAGACAGCTTACTGTCCGGATTAACTGAGGTACTAGGCAGCGTCTGGGAATCAGAAGAAGTCCCATCGGGTTGGTGTAAGTCACTGATTATCCCCATATACAAGAAGGGAGACAAGTCTTCCTGTGATAATCACAGAGGGATTAGCTTGACTAATATAGTATCTAAAGTCTTAGGCTCAATAATCATGCGTAGACTGAGTGGTGCTCGGGAAGCACAAACACGAGAGAGCCAGGCAGGCTTTAGACCAGGAAGAGGGTGTATTGATCATATCTTCACCCTCCGACAGATTCTAGAACATAGGCATTCCTACCGGCGTCCAACAGTCATTATATTTCTTGACCTAAAGGCAGCATTCGACTCTGTCGATCGGGAAGTTCTCTGGAGATGCTTGGCTGTAAAGGGAATTCCAAGAAAATATATTGCACTGATTAAGGCACTCTATTCGTACTCATACAGCCAGGTGAGGGCTTACGGCGAGCTGTCATCTGAACTGATGACGACCAGTGGTGTCCGTCAAGGATGCCCATTATCTCCTTTTCTATTCAACTTCATCATAGATGTGTTAATGGACTTAACCCTAGGTGACTTCAGCGACTCAGGGATTGACTTGCTACCGGGGAATAATCTCGTTGACTTGGAATATGCAGACGATATAGTCCTTCTAGGCGAAGACGCTGACGAAATGCAGAGTCTTCTAAACACCTTGAGCCGCAATCTACGAATGTTTGGCATGCGATTCGCTCCCGCCAAATGCAAGATGATGTTACAGGACTGGACTACATCGACGCCTAGTTTAAAAATAGGAAGTGAAGTGGTAGAGCACGTTGACCGCTTCACTTATTTGGGAAGTACCATCAGCCCCAACGGGCTGATCTCTGACGAAATCTCAGCACGAATACAAGGGGCTCGTTTCGCATTTGTTAGTTTACGCCGACTCTGGCGTAGACGAGATGTTCGACTATCGACCAAAGGGCGGGTGTACTGCTCATCAGTCCGCTCCGTCCTCCTTTATGGTTGTGAGACCTGGCCACTGAGAGTGGAAGACATGAAAAGACTAGCTGTCTTTGATCATAGGTGCCTGCGTTCTATTTCCCGTGTAAAGTGGCATAATAAGGTGAGCAACATGGAGGTTAGGCGTAGAGTTCTAGGTAAACAGGGGAAATCAATCGACGAAGTCGTGAAGCTACAAAGACTGAGATGGTTAGGACATGTGTTACGTATGCCAAGCCATCGCCTCCCTCGACGAGCTATGTTAGCGGATATAGGGTCAGGCTGGAAAAAAGCTAGCGGCGGTCAAACAAAAACTTGGCATCAGTCAATGAAATCCACAACAGTTGGTCTAAGCCACGTAGGAAGGTGTAGACTTCCAGGCTGGGGTCCTCGGGACGGTAAAAATCTATGGTTGGAAACAATTGGTGACATGGCTCAAAATCGTTCTCAGTGGCGCAGATGCATCCACTCCCTGTGACTTATGATCTTCAATGAAACTGTTTTGTATTTCTTTATTACTCCTTTGTCTCACACCTCTGCTCACTGTTTCTATTATGCTTTTCTTGTACTTTCTTCTCTTGCTTCGCGTGCTACACGGAATGTGGCGACTTGAACTTCCGCACATTTGTGCAAAGTTCTATGTCGAAAACAGACAGACAGACGTATCTAATCATGTTCATATCTCTACCGCTATTAACACTCTTTTTTCCCTTTATATGTTTAAGCCATTCCGGCTTCATTGTAAAATGAATAAAGCCTAAATTCTTGGTTCATTCGTCTTTTCAAGATTCAAGCATCACTCATCGTTCTAAGACTCAGTCACCTCCGCAACAGGAACATTAGTTCCAGCCAGTGTAGCTTGTTGGTTCGCTGTGATATGCAAGCGCGACCAACACGTCAAGGTAGCAGCTATCGGTCGAGAAGTCTACTCCCTAGAACGTTTATTCGTGCCTGAGGTTTCGGTTAGGCCACCAGTTTATGGGTGTCTGTGGATTTAAATGTTCTCCATTGACTACTGAGATTCCTACCTCTACGCTCCTTCGGTGAAATTCCACTGACGTTGGTTTGTATGATGGAAGTCTGTTAGTGGGTTGGGTTAAATTGGCAAACCATTTAGTGATATATATATATATATATAATACAAAGTATAATAGTAATTTCACCAACCTTCAGGAGAATAGGCTAAATCACTTTGTGAACCACTTTCCTTGTCCAATGAATACACTGGTTTCAGTGGGAACCTGATATCCCAGTACAATATTTTTCCGTCCCGCCTGGTGAAAAAAAATTTAAACTTACAGAATAACTAATTCGGCTGAAAATTCTGATTAGTATAGCCTATTATTACCACACATCAAATTACAGACTTATACACTTGGAACTAAACTTGAATTTCAGTACTAAAAATGTGCCAACTGCCTGGCACCAGGTGTTTATTGCGGGATTCGCCAATAAAAAGCAGATTAACTTTGTGATCACACAGAACACTTAAGCAAAGCTCTTTGTCACCGAACCTCATATTCATATGTGAAAATAATCATCCTGATACCCTATTCTAGGTGCGTAATCTTCAAGTAAATTAAACCACGTCAAAGTACATAGTGTGCAAATACAACAACTAATAGGTAAACACCTATAGTCAAGGACATCTAGCTTGCTGATGTCTTCTACTTCTGGTGCCATTGTCTCATAGGACGCGAAACGCTGCGCAGCGTACATATTATCTCATAGATACACATGTTAGGTCTACGCCAATGACGATGTAACTTGACGAGTGCCACCTACTTTTTGTATCCATGCTGAGATTTCACCAGAAATCAGTACACTGGGGTTAATACAGCTTCCCAAATACGTTCAATGATTTCACTCTGTCTTTAAACTGGGAGTCGGTGCGAACCAGTCCGGTGGCATCATCTTACTTTTTGACAGGTAGGAATTACATACCAAACATATTAGGATTTCTGCTCGAGGTGCTTATAAGACTCAGTATGTTGTGAGTGTCTTCACCTAAAAGTAAAGTAACACCTGCACAGTCTGAATGAACGAGAATGTTAATTAGTAACAAGTCAATCCTTCAGTCATTAAATTCAAACCTACTGGTAACGAGTTTACTAGCATCAAGTAGGAAATGAATGTAGAGGCAATGATTATCATACGTGAAACAGGAATATGAAAGGCGTTCATACCTTGAAGAAGCACTCAATGCCTTACGGAGGTTATATTTCAGGCAAGCGTGAAATACAACCAAGTCGTTATTTCTTAAGAGCTTCTTAAATTTATGTTAGTTAATGAAAAGTATACGCTAGATTGAGTAGTATTAGAAATGACTCTTATAACGGACTAATTCCATCATATAGGAGGCATTAAACTTTCAGAGCATAACGCGAGACACCAAAAGATTAGTGAGGTCTTAGAGAATCCAAATAAGGTTAGTCATGCAAAACCCATTGGTTTATAATGAAGGGGAACAAAATTTTAGTGCGAAATAATACATTACTCATTTTGAAATCTTGTTTTTTTTTACTTCTAGATGTGATAATTTCATGCAAATTATCGACGTTATAGGAACAACAACAAGAATCCACATTAATTTTAAATACATCGCAGTACTAAAAGCTTATGAGACTCCATATTCCATGAGTATTTAATAACACTAGCAAACCAATCCATAATACAAGCATAAAAACTAACCCTAATTAATATCTATGATATTTAAAACCCTATACAAAACATGCAACTCACCCTCCCGTCACAAGTGTGTAGCTGGCTCTGGTAGACCAAACAACTTGCGTCAAACCCAACTGAGAATGACCTCCAAGTAATGTAGAAACTGTGGAACCGACACGTGGATCCACTAAAACTGCCCGACTGTTATGATCCCCACTACAGGTCCCAAGACTAATCGCAATAAGATTGTGATAACATGAAACAGGCGACATGGATAGCCACGTCAAGCTTTGAGGGAAACGAATTGATGTAACACACTAAAACGGAAAAAATAGAAGTGCAGAAAGACTTGAAGCTATTGCGAAGGTGAGTACAATATCAAACAGGTGGTAGGAAATTTTTTGATGATAAACAGTTACGGAAACCACCGATTAATTTTAGTCGAAATATCACTTAGTAGCGATAAACAGTTATGTCGAAGTTGCACGTGTTATATGGCCTACATAACTAGTTACCGAGGAGAATGCAATAAATTGTTGACGGGAATCAGGTGAGGTCATATGACATCATAGTAGTGGTATAAAAAATATAAACATAAAAAGGTGAGTCACACTGATGAACTTCTGGTCAACTTTAGACAACCATCACAGAAGACAAAAGAAACTTCGAGCAAAGAATTTTTTTTTCGACAAATTCCTCTTCCAGCCTTACAATCATATATATATATATATATATATATATATATATATATATGTATATATATATGTATAATACTCGAATAGTCATCACTAACAATGTTGACGTTTTTCTAAGTAATCTCGATTTGTTAAGATCAATGGAATTGCAGTCTAAGAAAGTCTCGGAAGTTTCGGTAAGCATAAGAATGTAATACTAGGTGGAATATCAAATAAGATTAAGGAAATTTATACGATAAATTAAGGATAGTTGAAACTGTGATGGCCAAGGCAAGGAAAGCGTTTGAACCAACTTCTTTTTTATACACATGTCTACGGCTCTGAAACATGGCCAATACGCGTTGAAGACATGAAAAGGTTGACTGCTTTCGATCATAGATGTCTGCGATCCCTGTCTCACGTTAGGTGGTTTAACAAGGTAAGTAATGTTGACGTTAGGCTTAGAGTGTTGGGCAAACAGGGAAAATCAATCGACGAGGCTATAAAGTTACATAGACTAAGATGGCTAGGTCACGTGCTGCACATGCCTAACCACCGCCTCCCCCGACGGGCATTGCTAGCTGATATAAGTGCAGGTTGGAAAAGAGCCAGTGGTGGCCAAACAAAAACATGGCATCAATCCATGAAATCCTGGACAGTTAAACTGAGTCAGGTAGGGAGATGCAGACTCCCGGGTTGGGGGCCTCGGGACTCTAGGAATCAATGGCTGGAGACAATAGGTGACATGGCTCAAAATCGTTGTCAATGGCGCAGATGTATTCAGTCTCTGTAATCTTTCATATTCCTTTCTACCATTACCCATTCTGTTTCACTCTTATACTTGTCAAACTCTATTGATTCTCTTCGCTCATCTTGTCTACCTCTGTGTGCTATTTTGAACGTGGCAACGCGAACTGCTGCACTTCGGTGCCAAGTTCTATGTTGAATCCAGACAGACAGACACATGTTAGGCTTCTTGAAAAGGAAGCCGATAGCTTCCGCAATATATAACAGGCGAACACGAGGTTAAATTAATACCGTTTTGTAAATAGAAGATAACTTTCAAAATCTTATTAACACCAACCGGCCTCGTGTTCTGTATCCACAAGATGAGAGAGAACAGAACTATGAATTGACTTTATTTGTCCTTTGCTTAACCATGCAGGCTGATGTTCGAAGTCCAACGATAAACACGTTTAAATGTTCGCCTATGTAGCCCGCTTCACAGGAGCATTCAAACTGATACACATAGAATGGGCAAAAGTAAAATAGGAGTGGCTTTGAAGAGACAATGTACTTCAGCAACACCGAAAGCTCATTTTACTGCATTCCTTATGCGCTGTTATTTCACTGGTGTTATCACCAAGAAACTGAGGTAGGAACCAGGCCATTGTCGGAAAAGTTAGTACTCTGGAATGCCTTGGCTTTATATTCATATTCTTGTCGACGAATTTCCCAATCAGTGACTGTTTAACAATATTGAACTCTTCCTGACATTCGTCAGGACAGACTGCTCTTACTCTTCGGACCAAACAACTTACTAGATGGCGTTTGTATTTCAAAGGCACGAAGCTGAACAAATGAATATAGACACTGGGTCATAGGAGTTGTTAAGAAGACAATTGCAGCGAAGAAAATTTTCTTTTCGACGAAGTCATCATCTAGGCTGTACATTCGGGTATTTATGTCAAATGGATGGGAAACTTCCAGAATAATTTCCGGTTGTGGGTCAAATTAATAAAAATTACAATTAGGAATTAGAATGCCATAATAAACAGAGTGACGGATAAAACAAACAAAGTGGCATCACAGTAACTAAGAAGATTGACATTGTGCAATTAGGGGTTAGAAATGTAGAAATAACAAAATAGACAGGATGTTTGGATAAAAACTAATGTGATGAATAATTGTTTATGCAATCAGGGATTAAATGTGTAGAAATAGTACAATGACAAAATAAACATGAAGGCCGGGTATGAAAATATGGTAGTGTAAACAGGGATTAAGAAAAACTTTTAAAAAATAACATGGCTAAACAGGAAGTTCAGATAAGAAAGGCGAAAAGGATTGTCATTACTAAAAATTCACCTGTTTATGATGGCCATGACAGGGAAAGGGGTTGAATACAAAGCGTGGGTTAGAGCTTTTGGATAGCTAGCACCTCGGCTATGCCCAGATGTCTTGATTTCACTCCCTTTGATAGGTTTGATTGAATCTTGTATATTGCTTTGAAGGATTTTTCGAAAGGCACTGAATATCCTGAATTGACCAGATGTTCTGTCACTGAACCGTATACACGCTTTTGGTCTCTTTTTACTAACTAGGCTGGGTATGTTCACGAGCGCGTGTGTCAAGTCGGTACATGTTACGGCCAATGTACTCAGCTCCGCAAGAGCAAGTAAATTAGTATATGCATTTTGAGGCGGTCCAATGCGACAACTTGTCTTTCGTGTTCTGGATGAACAGTTTCTTGCAGGAAAACATTAGTCGTAGGCTCGCGGCGAAGCATGTTTTCCTCAGCGATTTGGAGAGGCGTTTACGAAGGATTTTTTTAAGTTTTTCTTAATCCCTGTTTACACTACCATATTTTCATACCCGGCCTTCATGTTTATTTTGTCATTGTACTATTTCTACACATTTAATCCCTGATTGCATAAACAATTATTCATCACATTAGTTTTTATCCAAACATCCTGTCTATTTTGTTATTTCTACATTTCTAACCCCTAATTGCACAATGTCAATCTTCTTAGTTACTGTGATGCCACTTTGTTTGTTTTATCCGTCACTCTGTTTATTATGGCATTCTAATTCCTAATTGTAATTTTTATTAATTTGACCCTTAACCGGAAATTATTCTGGAAGTTTCCTATATGCACGTTTTAATGTACCGTCTCCTTTTCTAGTCCTAGGGACGTCTAGAAGTGAGATACTAGTTTCTTTATTTCTTGACAGTGAAATTTGTTGCAGGATGCACATCGTTAAATTTGTCAAGATTGTTGTTTGCCCCATTCTCATGTTGCACAATCAAAAATATGTCATTTATGTAACGACAGCAGAGTTCTAGTTCGTCAGTTACATCTTTCAGAGGCCCTTTCTCTAGTTTCACAAGAGAAGTGTCCGCTAGAACTGGTCCTAATGGTGACCCGATTGACACACAAACTTATCCGTATAATTTCTTATTGAATAAAGAATGACTTCATTCTGCATTTCAAAAGCTATTTCATATGAGATATAGCAACGTCAACACCGATGATTCGTCTAATTTCTTTACATATGAAGTTCACTGTTTTCATAGGTCGTATATTAACGAATACGGAAGATACGTCAAACGATACCATGGATTTATTGTTAACACAAATCTTTTACACTTTCAACAGATACAAAGGTGTCTTCTACGATGTACTTCACCAATTCAGTATGTAGGGGGTGAAAGAGTCTGACCAAACATTTGGTTTTGAGATGGAATGGGGAATGTAATACATCTATCACTGGTCGAAGTGCAGAACCATTTTCGTGAAATTTAAGCAAACCATATTATCTCGGTGTAAACGTACCAGTGGGTTTTAGTGATGCATGCAAAATTTGAGATAGTCTTGTTTCAACTTTTGCAATGATTCAACTAACTGTTTCTTAATCTTTTTAATCCAACCCAGGTAAGATGAGATTTTTTGGAATTTTAGATGCCCATTTACACATCAACCGTTAACTATGGTGATTGGGCTTTAGTATCACAATGAGGAAACAGGCTATGTTGGTTAGCATAAATGTCCTTACAGGCTTTTCCATGCCAGAAGGATTGATCAGAAAGACGTTTGAATAAAAGCACTTAACACAATATTTTATGTTAAGGTGAGATAATAGTGCTGGCTTATGCACTATTTCCCGTAGAATATCATCAAGCTAGTTAGGCTATCTTCCCATTCAGGAGAGTAGGTCGTTAAATCCTGAGTTATCCTACGGTAACTGACACTGAGAAATTATGTACGGAAGATACTCCACAAATTCAATAAGCTACGCTACACTGCAAATAACTGACTTTGATATAAGAAAATACTTATTTGTTTTTTCTCGAGGTACTCCAATAAAAATTCCATTATAGATAAGATTTTATTTTGATAAATCGCACAGTGTTTACAGTTATATGAACTCATATAACTGTAAACACTGTGCGATTTATCAAAATAAAATCTTATCTATAATGGAATTATACTCTACCACAGTGCCCAAGTTTTATACTCATACTCCAATAAAAAGTTAATTAATGGTGCGGTCAGCTAGCATGAGAGCGAAATACTCCTTTTCAAAAGCTTCAACCTAGATCCTATCGTTATCCTCTCACAGCAAATACCTGTTGATTACCTGCAGTCACACACTTAGTCAAAGCAGATGGATTTATGTAACTTTGTGATACTGTAAATAATCAGTCACCCTCAGTAGTAGGCGACGTATGTGAAACATATAAAACCGACATTTACTCAGATTACCGAAATTTCCCACATATAAAACATTTCAGATCACGTCCCAGCTATTATTTCCTCCGGGCGCAGACCGCAGATAACTGTCCCACTTTCTGCAACGCGTACGAAGATAATGCTAGCCAAGATTACTTATATGTGGGAAATTTCGATGTGATTAAATGTTGGTTTTATTCGTTTCACAGACGTTGCCTATCACTGAGAGTGACTGATCATTTACAAAATCACAAAGTTACAGAAATAAACGATGTATATATATCATTGCTGATTTCATAGAATTAACTGATCTCTTATACCCGTCATAAGTCTTTCGTGAGCACATTTGTTTTATTGCCTTCTAACTCTTTACTCCTAAATTATATGCCTTTTAGCTTGGTTTTTACAATTCCTTGCTTTTTGTCCCGAAGTCTTGAAAATAATTCAACTAAGTGAGAAAGCAGGACACATGACTGCATTTTTAAGTACTTAATTACTTGTTACAGCGTCTTACAGTTAGTTTCCGTGAAGCATACAACTCCCTTGAATGTACTTGGGAATATGAGTGTGAAAAACTATCTCAGCATAACACTGATTTGAGCAATAATAAAACATTACATACCTCAAGGCGTACAGTGTCCCAAATTCCGAAGACCTTGTCCAGTGAGGCTGAAACAAAGGCCCCACTGTCAACAGGGTACCACTGCACACACATAATAGGGAAGTGTTTGATTGCCGAATTCATACTCTCTTGGCAAGGACTATTTCGCAGTGATGCAACCGATTTGTGTAGTACTGAATCAGCGCACCCCATATAAGGACTCTCAACGTCAAATATGCGCATAAAGCCATCCTGGGTAGCAACGAGTAATCTACAGTTCCTTGAGAGTAGAAATTTAATACATACAGACGGGACTCGACGGTATCTAGGGCCATATCACATAAGCAAATTTTAGATTCAAAGTCAAACTGAACCCGATGATCAACATCAACTTCCTGAATTCTGTTCCATAAGTAAGTGCTCCGATACTTGTACACCAATAGGTCTATATTCGGCATTTTTGATCGACGACATATCGAATACATGGATGAGGATATGGACAGGAGAGGGGCAAAAACAGTTTGCGGAAAAATTGGGCACCTGAAGGCGACTTATGTATATTGTTATTGACAGATTCCCTTCTGAGTAAACCGGTGAGGACAAAGGTTGCGAATACTGCGTAATGCGCGCTGCTAACGGGGGCATTCTATATCCAATATCCTCATTACGAGCTAGTGTAAACCAGTGATTTCTTTGAGCTCGCTTCTTGATTGTGAGGTAGAGGTTCCAGATCTTAGGTGAGCTCCTGCGTAATAAGTTCCGCCGCTCGACTGCTTTAGCTCTGGTAGACTCCAAGGGGAGTGGTGCGGGGATTGGTCAAGATGTGGTTTGTAGTATGCAGTATGTTAGGACTGTGTTGCTGCCATGAATGGAGTTTGACCTAACTCTCGTTGGTCATTCGGTGTAGTCATAAAAGCAGAATAGTAATAATAATGGGTTGAGATAAGTGAAATAATAAAGGTGACGTAAGGAAAAGATAGAGTAGTCGGTACAGTGAGAGAAGGCGGAACAGGTCGTGGGGATTTAGTTTGTATGCTTATCCATTGACAGTGTGGTTTCAAGTTTTATGAGGATAAGCCATTGAGACACAAACCTTGCATTTCTGCATGATTGTCTAGCTTCCGCTTAAAAATCTCCACAGATGGCGCTGTAGTCACGGCCGCCGGTAAAGCGTTCCAGAGACGGCAAACACGAAGCGAAAAGAAATGTGATCGCACTCGAGTCTTTGGTCTCTGGTGTGCTATCCTTAGCGGGTTACCTCGTGGAAGCCTATAGTCACTTAATGGCAGGATGCTTTTATTTGGGTGGGCCTGGTCATTTAAGATCTTTTAGACGGTGATGAGGTCTCCCCTGTGCCTACGGTAACTAAATGTGAAAAGACCTAATTTCTTTAGTCTTTCCTCATATGATTTGTTGCGGAGGCCGATCACCCATTTTGTCGCTCGTCTCTGGACACTTTCTAGAATGTTAGCATCCCTTTTGAGTAATGGAGGAGCAATGATATTATGCACCTCAAGGTGTGGCCTCACATATGCCTTATATAACCTTAAGAACAGTTCGGGAGTGAGAGCTCCCAGCTGCCCATGCATAAAGTGTAAAGTTGCGTAGGCTTTGGCGACGTCCCTCGAGTAATTTCCACTGGTGTCTAGCTTTTCTGTTAGAATAAGACCTAGATCGCGCTCTGATGGAACACAACTCAAGTTCTGGCCACCAAGGGTGTAATTTACACTCTGTGACCTGCCGGAATGAAGCTGCACTACTTTGCACTTCTTTAGGTTGAAAGGCATTCCGTTAGCCAGAAACCAGTTTCCCAGAGTTTGCAGGTCAGCCTGCAATCTATCTGAGTCTTCCGATGAGTTTATTGCTCTCCAAATCTTTACGTCGTCAGCGTAAAGAAGCGCAGAGCAGTTTAGTTGGGGGGCAGGTCGTTGATAAAAATCAAAAACATCAACGGCCCTAGGATAGAACCCTGAGGAACCCCTGATGCCGAGGTGTGCCAGGATGATCGGATGCGGTTGACTTTGGTGCAGAATTCTCTCTCGCCTAAGTAATCTTTCAGCCATGCGAGAAGTGCTCCAGAAACACCCGCCTTGCTTATTTTGTGAAGGAGCAGACCATGGTGAACTGTGTCGAATGCTTTCGCAAAGTCGAGAAAGATCACGTGGGCTGGTACCTTTTTGTCCCAGGATAGTGTCCAATCGTTCCAAGCTAGTAGAAGATTCGTCACGCAGGATCTTCCCCTCCTGAAACCGTGCTGTGCTTCGTGAAGAAGGTTAGTCCCATCGAAGTATTTTCTCATGTGGTCGTCAATGAGACTTTCCAATATCTTCGATATCACTGGAAGTAGAGCAACTGGTCGCATTCTGCCGGTCACCACCCTTGAAGATAGGGGATAGGATTGCTCGTTTCCATTCACATGGAAGTTTCCCTACATCAAGGGAGTGTTGGAACAGATCACTTAGGGGTTGGCAGAGACTTTCTGAACACTGCTTCAGGACAGATGGTCTGATGTCATCACAACCTGAAGACTTTCCCGAAGCCAACCTTCCCAATTTTGCAAGTACCATAGCCGGGGTAATTTGAAATGTACCCAGCAGGTTTTCGCGTGTTGGTTTTGCGATGTAATCTGGATGTTCTGTGGGGTAATATCCTCGTTACTGTTTAGTTGCCTGTGAAAGGCTAGGCTGAATGTCTCTGCCATTTCAAGACTAGTAAGAGATTTCCCATCAGAACCCACTAGATTGCATGCTCCCTGGTTGGTCGGTTTTCTTTCGGACATAAACCTGTATAGGCTTTTGGGGTTCACGAGAAGCTTATTGGCGAGGTCTCCCTGAAATGTCCTTCTATCGCTCCGGACTCGTATGTTACATCGATTCCTGAGTTCAAGGTACACTTCATGTTCGGGTTGACTCTTCGATCGTCGCCACGCAAACCAGGCTTTTCGCTTTGCCTGCAGAAGGCGTTGTGTCCCCCTTTTTAGCCATGATCGTTGCTTCCTAGCTTTTGGTGTGACTAAAGGAACAGTGTCTGAGACCGCCTGGTGAATGATCTCCTTTACCACTCTCCAGTGTTCTTCTACTGTTAGCTCTGTCCATTTTTTAGGCCAATTTGCTTCAGACAGAAGTCTTCGCATTTTGGTGTAGTTGGCTTTGTTATAACACAGATAGGGCTGTGTATTGTCCCACTGTAAGCGCTCGCGGAGGACTATGTCGAATACTATGACCGCGTGGTCACTACTACCTATGGGAGTCGTGATCTGAACGTTTTCCACTAGTAGCTGGTCACTAGTGAGCACGTAATCCAGTCTAGAAGACTTCCCATCAGGGCCCCATCTAGTATCCATCTTGACATTTTCAGTGAATCCAGCCTTCCTGATGGTATGCAGCAGATTTCGATCAAATCTATCATGGGCTTTTCCCGACACCAAGTTAAGAGATGGGGCATTGAAGTCACCAGCTATGACAATTTGATCATAACCCATGTCTTGAGTTGCTGAGATTGTATTTAGCAGTACCTGGTTGTGGTCTGCTCCACATGAAGGTGATCGATAAATGCTGCCCACTAGATATTTGCAGTACCCAACGGTGAAGTGGCACCATATGGAGTCAGGGAGCTCTGTGAGGGGAGGGTCCATCGCGTGAACACATCTGAGCTGTTTGTCGACGTATATGGCGACTCCACCTCCTTCTTTCAGGTCCCTATCTCGCCTGACTAGGACCATATCATTTATACTGACTTCGCTGTCTGCCACCGTAGGGGTTAGCCAGGTTTCCGTCAGTATTATGATTTTGGAGTTCAGTTGTGATTGTAGGTGTCTAAGTTCAGCTATTTTGCCTCTTAGCCCTCTCACATTACTGTACAGGCAACTGGTAGTCAGTCTCACCACTTCCCCGTATTGGGGGGTGGTTGACTTGATATTGGCTATCGGTTGAGGAGTTATCCTACGAACTAGTTGGCCGATTCCCCAGGAACCGGCCTGTTGGCGTTTTTTTCTTCTAGTTCAGTCGGAGCACTCGGATGACACTGGCTATCATCGTCCGTGCTGCACCGCTGTAGTGTGACTAGGGGTTGAGGATTTTTTTTACTACGCTTTGTTCTCTCCTTTGAGTGCGAGGCCGGCTCTCGCAGCAGCGAATGTGTTTGCTGACCTTGTCCTTGGTCTCGTACCATCTATGGAGAGCGGTAGTCAACTGGTCTTGGGAGCTGAACTTGACAGCTAACAGACGTGGCGTGTTAATTGACATAAGATGAGTGGGTCGAGGCAGTCTATAAATAGAGACAGCCCCTGAACTCCCCAGGGCCATCTGGGATGCCAACCATCTCCATTGTTGTACATCATGACAATGCTTTTCGCAGGCGTTCCCAGTTACCAGTTCGGGAATGCCATGCACAACCATGGAGGCAGAAGGAATGAGCTCTGGCGACTCCCTCGCCATTTGTCTTTCCTTCCACGGCCTGTCTGGCTTAACACGTATGTTACAGGCCCTCCCTATAGAAAGGACTTGAGAAGCCAGTAAAACTTTTTCGACATCCTCGGTTGAGCCCAGTGTTACCCTCAGTGGGGATGGTTTGCCTTGAAGTGCAGCAGTGCCCATATACAATGGTTGGAAGTCCAGACCCAGTGTGATACACAAGTTGGACCACTGTTCCTGATCAAACAGGGTCCTATTTTCCAGCAGAATGGTACTACAGTCTGGTTCACTAAAGAGGATTGCACAGTTTGATCTACTAACCGTGGACTCAGGCTCATGGTATGATTTCTCTACTTCAGGACATCTAGCTGTCTTAATCAGAATAACAGGATAAGTCAGTATTACTAAAATTCCTCTTTTCTTCTAAATAACTGACGTACTTTGGCATTTGGATTTCACTCCTTCAGTTTCTATTCCCAAAATTACCATTTAAAACAGTGAAATCCATCATCCGTTTCACCCTAATTTATACTTTTTTTATTGTTGTTTACCACTATAAACTTAAACTAACCGCAAGTAAGTAACACCATAAAACTCAATGACTAGAAATTCCTAGTAATAAAAAAGGAGAATAAACCCTGCGGTTATCGCATACTGTTTCCTTAAATTATTATTATCTGCCAGCTGCCTCTGCCTCCTTCCGTTTCCTTTACTTCCCGAAGATATTGCACTGAAACACTGCAAATGAACAGTAACCGTGCTTTCTATATTTGTATTAATTGCGTGGTATCCAGATAATTACTAGCTTCAGGATGAACAAAAAAAATTAGTCACGTCACGAAAATCGTCAATGCCCAGCTCTTGCTGCACTCGAGCTAACGCTGTTCCTCGAAGTTTCTTGGAAACGATCAGTAATAAAGGACACAAAAACCAAAACACCAATTGACGACTCGAGGATTCTTTAATCAAACACCAACAAATAAGGAGCATGATGAACTAAGGTTTCTAACAGTTTTATAGGTTCTACCTCAACAATGACCGATGAGACGATGACTAGTGGATTGATGCCTCCG